GTCAGAAACATACAAATCACTGCTGGCAACTAGGAAACAGCCTCCTGACCTGGGGACTAGGAGCAGATGATAATGTTGGCATCAGAAGCAGGGTTGGTGCCAATGTCAAAAAGTAGTCTAAGTTGTAAGTGAAAAGACTTGGCCTGAAAGAACAGGGATTGTTTTCCTGTTGTCTTTGTATCATAGTGTCTAACACAGAGGACGTTTGTAATATCTATTTGTAGAACTGAGATGGGTAAATTACAGGGCTTCAGGTTTTACAGTTTCTTCAATTTAGTGCAGTCAGATCTTTTGGGTATGTGTTTATTTTTATGCTGGGCTAGGTGAGGCCAGTCCCTTTCTCCAGGTCCCTCTAAATCTGTATTGGATGTTCCTATAACTACTTCTTTGCCAAGTCTATCAGTGATGGCAGGCACCATTCCTTCCCCAAGAAGCTCTCCCCCATCCCAGACCCATGGCATTAGAGCTGTCATGGACCTGGTATCAATCTAGCAACAAGCATTTATTAAGCAGCTACTACCTGCCAGCCTCTGTCCTAGGTGCTGAGTATGTAAATACAGAGCTTAAAACCATCCTTATTCTCAAGATTACATTCTAAACCATATATAGACAGAGGGTCACAGCAAGGAAATCATGTGTTTCCAGCATGAACAATGTGGAATTTTTTTATTAATTGGAGTAATAATTATCCAACTATTCAAGCAATGTTCTTTGAGGCTGGCCAAAAATTCAGCTAGTCTTAACTCCTTCATTTTACACATAAGGAAACTGAGGCCTCAAGAAAATAGGTAAGAGAGTCAGGTAGCATTAATGAGTCTTATGACTATAAATCTAATGTTCTTTCCACCATACTACACCACTTTCTAACTCAGGGAAGTGATGTTGATAGAAAACCTCCACTACCTGATTCAAAGGCATGAAGGTCATATGAGGAAAAGCACAAGTGTGTGAAAATATGAGGGCATGTATATGGATGTAATGCATGATTGCATATGCAAATATGTACACACATATATGAACATAATATACATACACTATATGTACATGCATGTATATGCGCACCCACCTACCAAATTCCAAGCTACTAGATCCTAACATTTCCACTATTATCACTACACTATTCATAAAAACAATTGATGTTTATATAGTATTTGAAAGTTTACAAGGTACATTATGTCTTGCAGGTCACCTTCATGTCTTCTGCAACTCATTTTGTCTTCATTCAGAGCTAGATGGAGAACTATCATCTATAGACCTGGATTGCTCTGCGGAGTGAATGACTATCTAGGCTAAAAGCTGCTCTCATTATGTTACTGCCATTATCATAGGATCAATAAGAAGGGCCCATATGGCTTAGACCACAGGTTTCTATGAGGGTCTCTCTACATAGAGATTCCAGGTGCTCAGCTACCACTGGGTCCCTGCTTACCAGGGCTTCATGGGACTCCATTTATTTATCCACTACATACAGGGTTGTCTGTCTACAATGTCTCTTATTCTTCACACTATGCCATATCTACTACTGAAATAGTATTTTAGGGGATAAGTACAGAATAAATGTTAAAGTGAAAATATTTTGAATGGGAATGTTTAAAGTGGAGGAATGAATGACTATTACATAGAAGTCTATGGTATGTAGGAGAGCAGAACCAATTATCCTGGTGACAGTAGATACTCAAACATCCAATTATTTCTGTCTGAAGTGGCCCTGGATTACCAGTGATAGAGAAGAGCATGATAAATCTTAATATGGAGATCAGTGAACAAAGTAAAACAAAACTCTAATGACAAACAACAACAAAAAGAATTTTCCATGGGAGCCATCATTACCTAGGGGAGAAACGGCTTGGTGTAGCAGGAATAATGGGGGAGTCAGGAGAGAAACCAAAGGGAGCTGTCTTTGTGGGAGTGTCTAAGATTGATTGATAGCCTTGTCCCAGGGATGAAATTCCACTGCCAAGCAGGATCACAGATGGACTTCTAAGAGTAACAAAAATCATGGGAGGAGTCCAGCACTTGGGCACAGATCTCATGACTGACATCCCACAGAATCCCCGAGTGACTAGTGGCAGCTTCAACTATCTGCCAATGGCACAACCACAGCACCCATTAGACCTCTCTAGAGGGCAATCAGACCTAGAACAGGTTTTCCTACATTGGCCCTCCTAGTATGTGTGTATATATGTATGTATGTATGTATGTATATGTGTGTGTGTATGTGTATACCCCTGTTATTTGGATGGTATGAAGCTAGGTCTGGGTATGTAATAACTTTTTCTTAGTCCTAATCATATTTGACTTCCCTGAAGTTTCTGACACTTCCAACCACCATTTCCATTCTAGAAAATCTCTCTTCCCCTTGTTTCTGAAACACTGCTTTCTCTTGGTTTTTCCTCCTGCTTCTCAGACTGCTCCTCAGTTTTTAATGGATAAGTATCCTTCTGCTTCCTATTAAATGTCAGTGTGCCCTCAGGTTATCTCTCTTAGCTTCTCTCTATATACTCATTCTCTCAAAGATCTCAACAACTCCTATGCATTTAATAATTTTTATGCTGATTTCTCATATGTATATCTCTCTATCACCTAAGTATATCTATATTTATATCTAGATTGCAGAAAAAAAGTTACAAGTTGTCAGGGCTTGTGGAAGATGGAAATTAGTGCATGTGTTCCACATGGTAATGACTGAATCTGTCTCCAGTGTATCTTAGGTTTTTGCATGGAAGAATTCTTCTTTCAGTTGATGAAGTAGGATGCAGTCTGCATTCTCCTAGAAAATTCCAGGTGGCCTCTTCCCTCCAAGGTGTTAAGGTATTGGTCTATTAATTACAGTCTCTATTATCCACAAGGCCTTGAATGAGAACAAAGGATAGCTGATCTTGAAGCCTAACTACTGTGTTGTTACTCCTCTTCTCCTGTCCCCTCACCTCCCCTGGATTTTTTGGGGAGGGGGGGGAGGAGAGACACAATTAAAGGTGAAAGAGTAAAACAGTAACAGAAGAGAAAAAGAGCACCAGAAAGATAGCACTGAGCATGGAGTCAAGAGAGATCTGCATTCAATCCTGCCTTTGACACTCTCAGGGGTGGTACAGGGAAAAGACAACTAGGAGCCATATGATCTCTTCCATCCAGTGACTCTCTTCTGTCCTGGCACCCTCTCCACTGCACCACCTAGAGGCTATATTAGATGACCAAACTGTCTTAGGTAGCCAGAAAGAGTGCTGGAGGGTTGAAGATTAGCTAAAGTGGAACCATGCTACTTACTAAGGTGCCCTGGAGATATGTCACCCAAGAGGGAGAAAATTTGGCAGAGAGTAGAACTAGATCTATCAATGACATGTCTAGAAGACACCTGCAGGTCTCAGAACTGGTAATGTTAACTACCCCTCAATACATATGCTCTGATCAAATGTATCCCCATGTGTATGTATCCCACATACAATTCTTATGCATTTCTTCTCTTCTTACTGATCATATGGATTTGTAGGAGAATAAGTTCCCTCTACATTAGTGGTGTTAAACACAAATAGAAATGGGGGCTACTAATCCATACATAAGGATTACTATACTTAATTTTAAAATATAATATTATCTGTATTTTATTATTTTAAATTTATTTAAATGTTTCCCAATACCATTTTAATTCATTTCAAGCTATACTCATGAGTCTTGTGGGCACCATGCAGCCTGAGGGCCACATTTTTGTCTCATCTACTCTATATTACTTTGAGCAACTTTGATTTAAATTAAGTGTATAATTTTGATGATTAGTAAAAGTAAACACACTAATGATATAGGAGTCAAGAGCAAAAATTTGCAAAATAGTATGGACCAAAAAGGGTCTAGCAGGTGGGGTGGCTCTCTGGGAACCCATGAGTGAACTTCCATATATGGGTGTAAATGTATATTTTCATGTATATCAGAGTTTATGTATATATGGGTGTTTACTTCATGTCTGTGCTTAAGTATACATATAGGCATAAGAACATTTATTAGTCAACAAATATTCATTAAGTGTCTAGTATATGTAAGACACTATGCTAAGTACTGAAGACACAAAAAGAGGCAAAAAACAATCCTCACAGAACTCACCATCCAGTTGGGGAAATTACCAAACCAATATGTACAAATGACATACATATAAACTAATAGAAAATAATTAAGAGAGGGAAGGCACTAGCATTAAAGGGTGTCAGGAAAACTTTAGTGTAAAAGATGGTATTTTAGTTGGTACTCAAAGCAGCCAGGGAAACCAGTAGGAGGAGATGATGAGGAGAGTATTCCAGGTATGGGGGACAGCCAGAGAAAATGTCAATAGGTTAGAGATGGAGTATCTTATTCATGGAAAAAGCTAGGTCAGGGTCACTGTTTTTGTTGTTGTTGTTATTGTTTTGCTAGGCAATGGGGTTAAGTGACTTGCCCAGGGTCACACAGCTAGTAAGTGTTATGTGTCTGAGGCTGGATTTGAACTCAGGTCTTCCTGACTTCAGGACCAGTGCTCTATCCACTGTGCCACCTAGCTGCCCCAGGTCAGGGTCACTGGATCTAGGAGTCCACTATCTCTCTCCTGTACTGTTACATTAGCCTCCTAATTAGTCAGCATCTCATCTCAAATCTCCCTTCTCTCCATTTATCATACTACTACATGTACAATGTCACAAAAGTGACATTACTAAAGCACAGATTGGATCATGTCATTTCCCTTATCAATAAACTCCAGCACTTCTCTTTTACCTCTAGCATGAATACAGTGTGGGTCTGACCATTCCTCCCTATTACTAAATAAGAGCATTGCCAATATTTGTCCATCTTGCCCTTCTAGGAGATATATTATCTGCTAGAAACCACAAGACTTTAATTTACTCAATGGTTGGGGAACAGGCCTAGGCTCCTGCAGCACATCCCCTTAAGTTTTACTGATGGGACCCCATTAATGGATAATCTGAGGTCCAGGATGACAGATAGAAAAAAAATGTACTGAGCCAACATTTATTACTGACCTGAGGAGGCTGGAAGAACAGAAACAGGAACTAATCCAAGATCCTCTATAGGAAAGAAAAGCAGAAGATAATGAGAGGCCTATCTGGTACATCCGTAGATAGTTGAGAGCTGAAAGCAGGAAAGGAGATAAAGGATAGCATTAGGGAGCAGATTTCAGTTTGGGCCCTGAGGAGTTGGAATGAAATGAACTGGGTCTCAGCACCACAAACTCCACAAACAAAGGCTTCTGGACTTACACAAATATTGCAATATGACTTGTAAGCTTTGAAAGGTTAACTATATGAGATAGTGAATCAATCAACAAGCATTTATTAAGCACTGACTATGTACTAGGCACTCCTATACTAAAATATAGTATACTATATGTAGATAACCAGGAGTTCAGGAGGAGAGAGAGATCTCTGCAGGCTGATGGGTTCCAGAAGATTTCTTGAAGGAAGTCTGACTTGATCTGGGCCTCAAGGAAGTAGGAGGATCTTCTGCATTGTCCAAGGGGAGGAAAGGAGAGGATCTGGGGCCCTCTTGTCTCCAGTTGAGTAGAAACTTGGCCTAATCTTGTTATTTTGTTGGTTCTTGTCTTTGAATTCTAAGTGAATAAATATGGAATTTGAACTTTTTTAATGATTGACTTCACATGTTCAAACTAGATACTGATATTAAGTGGGCAAAACCATTTAACACACACCAGGGTTCTTACAGGAAGTTTTAAGTGCACAGTGAGCTTGTGGTTTAGAACTCAGTGTTTCCTGCTAAGGCTGAACTAGTCTCAGAAACCCAGTGAGAGATGGGGTCACAAATATAACACCACTATTTCAAAGATCCTGCACAGTTGTCTCCACTTTAGAACTTTAAATGACAATTCTTGCTATTTCCTATTTCTTCTCTCCTCCCTGATGCAGGGTACCTGAATATCAAGTTCTAAATAGGAGTATGGGCCATCTCTGAACTCTCTGCATGTCTATGGGGTGACCTGTTGATAAAGACCCATTAAGGTTTGGGGTAGCTAGGTGTCACAATGACAGAGCACTGGACCTGAAGTCAAGAAGACTCTTCTTGAGTTCAAAACTGGCCTCAGACACTTAGTAGCTGTGTGACCCTGGGCAAGTCACTTAATGCTGTCTGCCTCAGTTCCTCATATGTAAAATGTAGTGGAGAACAAAATGGCAAACCATTCTAGTATCTTTGCCAAGAAAACCCCATATGGGATCAGGAAGAGTCATGACTCAACAGCAAAAGGTTATTTAATAGAACCAACTTTTTTCTCATCCTTGCTATTGTGCATGCCATCTGACTGACTTCCTGTTATTTAGCACTGATAAAAAAAAATTCTACCCTTGTTCCTGACTCAGCACAAATTCCATGGAATTGTCTTAAATTCAGCAGTCTAATCATGCTCTTTCTGAGACATTTTCCTTGTGCTGAGATACAACACTTGATCAAAGCCTGAGACCCATTTCACTTTATCTCCTCCTTTCTCCACTGGTCCCCACCCCACCCCCTTTCTCAGCTGAGGCCACAGCTGAAAACTCCTCCATTAGCTCCATTCTCCCAGATCAACCATTTCCCTTTCTCTTCAATTCCTTTCCCCACTTACTGTCATCTCATGAACATTCTCTTGCCACCAGCAAACTCTTCTCATGGCCCAGATGTTCTTCCTCTCCAGTATCAGGGAACAGTGACTGAACTCCACTCCTCCCATTTTGATTGTTAGGAAAAAGTCTAGAGCTGACTCTCCCTCCCAATCTCAGCCCTATGTCATGTATCCCAATGGGATCCTTTTGTTCTGAAGTCAAAAGTCAGAAATTATTATGTAAGCATTTGTTAAGTACCTATGACATGCCAAACACTGGGCTAGGTACTGGGGAAAAGAACATAAAAATGAAATAGTGCCTGTCCTGAAGAAGCTTACATTCTTTAGAAGGAAACTACTTGTGAAAACAAAATCTATAGAGTGAATATGAGGTAATTTTGGTCTGGGAGAAGCCCTAGAAAAGGATTCCAAGGAAGAAAACAAAGTAGGAAGAGAGGGAGGAAGGACAAAGGGAAGGAGGAAGAAAGGAAAGGAACCTGAGTGGCCTTGCAAGTGGGAGGGGTAAGACCCAGCTCTGAGGCAGACTCTTACCCTTCCTGGCTCGCCTCCACAACTCCCTCAGGCCCATCTTCTCCCAGATGCTCAGAGCAATATCCCAGGCCTCCTGCTGCCCAAGAGAACTGACCAGGAGATCGGCCACTTTTGTGAGATTGGCCCCCTCCAGGCAGCCCCGGGAGAGATAGTCCACCAGCCACAGCTTGAATTTCTTCAGCTCCTCTGAAGTCAGGTGCTCCAAGTGCCGAACCAGCTGGCAGCGGACACTCTTGGCCATTACAGCCGCCTTTGCTGCCCTACCTCCGAATAAGTGGGACTACGGGGAAGAGAAAATGAAAATGAAGTGGTCTGGGGTAAGCATCAGTAGGTCTAGGCCATGTGTCTGAAGCTCAGAGTGCAAAAACCAGGAGTGGAGCTGCACTGGGACCTCCAGATTTCTAGCTAGACCACTGGCCAAAGCGGGTAGAGGGGAGGAAGAGTCTGACTGGGCTCAGGGGCCAGGCTTCTTTTTCTGACTTAATTCTTAACTGCCTGGCCTACTCCCTGCACCTGGTCACAGGAGCCAGGGCTCCCCGGGGATGAGGCTGGGAGTGGAGTCTTCTACTAAGGCCCCTACTCCAGTCCAGATATTTGTATTTTCCTTCCTCCAGCTGAGCCTCCAACCAACAGAGACCTAGAAACTTAGAATAAGAGGTCCTCAATTGAAATCCCACCCACAGTTTTTACCAGTATCACCTCGGGCAAGTCACTTAACCTCTACAATCTTCAGTTTCTTCATCTGTGAAATGCATTACCGAAATTATACTATATGGCCTCTGAGATGCCTGTCTTTTCACAGATAATATTTGTAAAGCATTAGCATAATTCCTACTATAGAGCAGGTGCTTAATAAAAGTTAATTGAATTGAATTTCAAGGTGCTTAATAAATGATTGTTTCCTCCCCCACCCTTTCAGCTCTAGATTTGTGAGTTCTTTCCTGCGATACAGATCACCCTGTCTCCTCTCTGTTATCAGAGGCATCAGGGTATCCTTCTAATTTTGCACTCTTCTCTTATTACTGTAACTAGCGTTTCTAGACTAGGGACGAGGCTTTGAGCTGAGTTTTGAAGGAAACTTTGTATCCTCAGTAGTTAGCATAATAGGAGTTACTTATGGACCAAAACTCGTGTGTAAAGCAGTTGTTGTTCAGTGGCTTCCGACTCTTCGTGACCTCATTTGGGATTTCTTGGCAAAGCCACTGAAGTAGTTTGTCATTTTCTTCTACAGCTCATTTTACATTTAAGGAACTAAGGCAAGCAGGGTTAAGTGACTTGCGGGAGATCACACAGCCAAGTAAGTGTCTGAGGCCAGATCTGAACGCAGGGAGATGATTCTTCCTGACTCCAGGCCCAGCACTCTATTCACTGTGCCACGTAGCTGCCCCATGTAAGCAATACATTAGCTCTTTGGGTGAACCCAGAAAATTAGAAAAGCAGAAACTTTTTTTCCTTATGTTGTACCTAAGGACAAAAAAGTTACTTTTTTTGTTGGTTGGTTGTTTGTTTAGGCTGTATTGGAAGAAAACGAGATCGAAGAAGGGTTAGCGACTTTCCTTGAGGAGGATGGGAAGATTATAACCCGCAACAGAGAGGATGTATTTAGGAAATTCTTATGTTTTTTCCCTCAATTCACATATGCAGTCAGTTGCCAAATCTTGATGTTTCTACCTCCACAGAGTTCTCACATCTATCTCCTGCTCTCTATTGCTACAATCCCCACCCTAATTCAGTCTCTCATACCCTCCTCACCTGGATAGGCACTAACCTCCCAATTCATTTCTACACTTCAGGTCCTTTTCTTCTCCAATCTATCCTCCCCATTGCTGTACCAGTGATATTCCTAAAACAGGCCTGCTTGTGTCATTGCTCAGAAACTCCCCTGGCTCCCTATTGCCTCTAGGATGAAGTATAAATATCTGTGTTTGGCACTTTAAGCCCTTTGCAGCATGGTTCTACTGAGGAAAAAATGGTGATATTGTACGTTTTAGACACAAGTGTGCCAGAAACAATTTCCTTTAAATTATCTTTATTCAATATCAAAGCCCTTTCCGTATCAGAGAGAAAAGTTTCAAAATGAAATGATCCCTTACATATCCCTGGACATGACTCTCTATCACAAGATGATTTGAGGTAACATTTATAGAATCTTGAACAAGTTGTTAGTCAAATACCATTAATTTAGTTGAATGCATCTCCACATCATCTACTCAGAAAAAAAAACATAAAGAAAAGCCCTATACCAAATTTGGCATTCTATACCGGCTGAATTAGGGAACTCATTTCTTAAACTTCTCTACTTTCAAATCATGTTTCAAATTGTTTTCATGTGTAGTTTGCTTTTCCTTTCCACACCCCGCCAACCCCTGCCACACTGAATCCCTTTTGTGAGTTAGTAATGTTGTCTTGACTTAGAAGTGAATTATATTTAAGTGCGAAGTCATTAGCCTCACTCTCTCCTCCAGAGTCATCTGAGTCCGGTGGCAAGACATAGATGAGGATGACTAGAGATGGCCCTGGATACAGCAAGAGACCTTGGCCTTTTTAAGCTAACTTCTTTCCCAAGTCTCAGTTTGTCTAAGGCAATAACTATTCAGCTGGTAAGAAATGTGGCAAATGATGGCCTTTACTACTGAAAAAAATTTTTAAAAATCAATGTAAGAGGAATAAGACCTTCAGGATTTCTGGCCAGAACAGAAATAATGGCTATTTGCACTCAGTCTAAGCCATCAAAACCCAAACAATGACCAACTGACTTGTGAGTTGGGAGAGGTCTGAACTGAGGTGTACGTGTGTGTGTGTGTGTGTGTGTGTGTGTGTGTGTGTGTGTATTAAGAGTGGAATGGTATCCACAATGGTGAAGGGAATAGTACTCTATTTTACCCAGCTTCACTCATTCTCTCTTCTAGCCAAAGGAGATTACTCACTCCTCCCTGAGCTTCCCATCCCTGCCTTATCACAGACTGGGGCCAGTGTCATGATGCCTCAACACCCCCCACCCCACCCCATCCCCTAGCCTTCCTCCCCTAATTCTTCAACTAAAACAAGAGCCACAGTATCAGTGGTGGTGACAGCTCTGCTTGTGCTCTCCTTGGGGGCAGTATCCCAAATCTACCAGAGGGCTATGGAGACAGTGGGCTGATTTTACAGATTGTAGAGGTGGGAAGCCTGTGGTGAAGGAATACGGAGGACAGCCTTCCCCCACAAAGAGTACCTTTCGATAATATTTATTCACTGAAATAGCAGTCTCCCTGGCTTCCATGATAGCCTATCAGTGCATTTCATCCTTCTCACATCAGAACTAAACTGCTCTAGCACAAGAAACATCAGGGGCAATTTTCGTTAATTCATGGGGTTAGATCAAGGGAACATGAGAGATGTTTCAATGGAATATAAGAGGGAAGGGCACACTCACCTGAATAAACTGGCCCCAAAAGTCTGGTCAGGAGAAGTGTCTATTATATACAGTTCCCTTGAGGAAAAAAAGTGGGTAAAGCCCTCCCCTCATCTCAGACAGCTTGTAGTCACCCTCCCCAAATCAGTGTTGTTTTTTCTGTTTACTTTAACCTTATGACCCTAATGTTCAGGAGGTGCTTAAAAGAGGACAGTTATAGGGATTCATCTTGGTATCTCTAGCTGACAGTTCTTCTTTCTCAAGACCTCAAATGGCAACTTCTTCCCATCATCCTTAAATAAAATATCCTTCAAGTGAAGGATTTACAAACTCTCATTGCTATTGAAAGCAAAAAGACCACAGGAATGAGTTAGGTGGTTACATTCCAACCCATGGGAGACATACAACCACAGGTTAAATGACCCATCCATTTCTCCAGAATTCCCTTCTTTCTTCTTTTTCTGGAAAGGAGATCAGAGCCCCCATTGCTTCATAACCACCACCCTCTGATATATTCATTCCGATCTAAACAGTTCAGTTTCCTTTAAAAATGCCCCCTTCCTTGTCTCCTAATCTACTAGCCAATTCTTCTGTCTTCTGATCACGCCTGTGCTACAAGAAATACCAATATTTCTACAATTGCTTAGGTCTAGTATTATTTCTACAAAGAGTGTTTTATAATGCAATTCGTAGTCTCATGGTGAATCTTGGCAGATGTACTCTCAAATATTTCACAGCTTCTGTAGTTACTTGAATGTACTTTCTTTTCAAGCAATCCTTGCTATATTTTGTTGGTTATATAGAGAAATGATAATTTATATGAGTTTTATCTTATATCCTGCAACTTCACTGAAGTTATTATTTCAATGAAATTTTATTGACGCTCTAGTAAGGTGAAGGAGAACAAAAGAAATTGGTCTGTGTATTCCTAACTGACCTGCAGAGCCTCATTCTGTTAAGAGGCACCAGTTTGGAAGCTGTGGCATCTGTCTCCATGGCCACCACCCTAGCTGAAGTTTTCATCTCAAAACTAGATAATTACAAGAAATTGAACCCCTGAGATTTATCGAGGTTTGAAAGCACAACAAAATTCCTGATATTAATGATTCAAAATAACCAAGTGGTCTAGTGGAAAGAGCATTGATTTTAAGGCAAGCTTCTTGAGGGCAGGCATTGTTTTTGTTTTGTTTTCATGATTCCCAGTGCCTAGCACATCATCTTTTTTTTTTTTGGTTAGGCAATGGAGTTAAGTGACTTGCCCAGGGGCACACAGCTAGTAAGTGTTATGTGTCTGAGGCCAGATTTGAACTCAGGTCCTCCTGAATCCAGGCCAGTGCTCTATCCACTGCACCACCTAGCTGGCCCCTAGCACATCATCTTATACACAGTAGGTGCTTCACACACATCTGCTGAATTAGATTCACTTCTTTCATTCCAAGTTCCTTCTCATACACTTACAAGCTAGTAACCTTGGATAAGTTACTTCTCATCTTGCAGTGAGGCCCAAAGAGGTGAATGAGATTTGTACTAACTACCTCACAAAGTTGTTATGAGGAAAGTGCTAAAAATACAAGTAGTTGTTGTTATTATCATTACTATTTCTGTCATTGTCTCCAACAAATATTCTTCCCAGTGGTTACTGATGGTTGACTTGAGTGATTGTAGTGGGCTATTAAGTCACTACTTCCTCCTCACTACCATAAGATCTTTTTTTATGAAGAAGGAAAAGGGCTAAGCAGGGGAAAAATCAGTACAAAAATAATAAGAATAGCTAGCATTTATATAGCACTTTAAGGTTTGCAAAGTGCTTCGCAAATATCTCATTTCATTCTCAAAGCAGGCCTGGGAGGTAGGTGCTATTATTACTCTCATTTTACAGATGAAG